AGCGACTGGGGGACACCTCTTGGGTGTTCAGAGTGCAAGCATGCGTGTGACGAGAGGGAGCACAGCACACCACAGCTCGCCTCCTTGGTGTACCACAAGCTGTTCCCTACCTACCTGTGTCCGCATGACTATGATCCACAATCACCGTACCACATGATGTTGATAGTGACCACGGGTTTTCCTGTGCAGAGCATGCACTATCAAGGTTTGCACTGAATCGTTATCATTGTCGCCAAGCTCCCGTGCAGAACCCTCCTCGGGGTTTTGCATGGTAGCGGAGCGCGGTTGCCATGGCAACGGCAGCAGCAGCTGCGGCCAGACCTGGACAGGGCGACCCGCCAGTTAATCTCAATGTGCCGGCAGACAGAGATGCTTGGGTCAACATGGATCCGAATCGATTCAACGACCTGTGCGAGCAAGCATACGTGAACGGAGACTTCAGTTACGTTCAAACTGCGCTACTCGCAAACCACTTTGGGCTCGCAACGTTCATCAACGAGCGAGTAGCACAGGACCGAAGGGAGGTATCGAACGCCGAAGCATTCCAAATGTTACAAAGTGCCCACAAGACCAACAGTATGCTGTTAGCGATCACGAAGAGAAATGCTGCGCTCGAAAGAGATGCTCGCAGATTAGTGGAAAGGGTCACCGAGTTGGAGACTAACAGTGAAGTACAAGAACAGTTGATCGAAAGGTTCGGTCAGATCTCGGAAGCAATCAAAGGAGGAAGCGGAAACAAGCACGGGAGCAGTAAACCGATAAGCGAATATAGGCGTTACAGGCGCTAAAGAACTTCAGTGGGGAAAGGGCGAAGTTCAGAGACTGGAACGACAAATTCTTGAACGCACTAGCCCAAGTGAAGCCGAGTTACCGACCGGCACTGAAAATGCTAAACAAGAAGCTGGAGACGCTTGACGGAGTTGTACCAGAAGAGGACGATGATGACATCATACGCATAATGAACGGTCGATTAACTGCAAGCGAGTACCTGAAGGCAAGTCAAGCCAAGCAAGCCGAGGACGACAACAAAGGTGAATATGAGTTTACCGAAGGCGACAAGACTCAGATGGAAGAAGACTTATGGTACATTCTGAACGAGAAACTTGAAGGTGCGGAGGCCAGAGGAAAATTAAAGGGACTGATGGATGGAGATGGAATCATGGCTTGGCAAAAGGATTACAAATGGTACTCGGCGGTAACCGGAGCGACCTTATCATCAAAAATGACGCATGCCATGAATCCTGAACCGCCCAAGAAGATCACTGACACTGTTACCCGACTTGAGGAATGGAGCGCATTGGCAGAAAATCTTGAGAAATATGGCAAAGATTACTCGCTGCCTCTTCCTTTCAAAGTCACCGCGCTCAGGGCCATAATGGTACACGCGAATGACTGGTTTGACGAATGGCAGCAGGCATGTTGGCGAACGCCTGACGCGCTTAACATTGATTCATTTCAGAAATTGTACTCAAAGTGTGAAGACTGGGCGCGTAAAAAGAAACTTGACTCAGACACAAGAAATAAGGATGCAATGGACATTGGAAATATCAACGAGATGAGTCAAGGGTCCGAAAACGTTTGGGACCAAACAGGATGGGTTGACGAAGATGGAAACTGGTGGTCAGAGGATGGATCGTGGAATCACGGGTCCTGGGCCAATGAAAGTGACGGGGGAGAATATGAAGAAATCGACGCCGTAAACAAAGGTAAAGGCAAATGAATGGGCCCCAGATGTTACAATTGTGGAGGCATGGGTCATTTAGCCAGGAACTGCACGAGGCCCAAGCAGTTCACCAAAGGAGGTAAAGGTGGCAAAGGCGGAAAAGGCAAAGGTTACCGAGCCACTTACGGATCCTATGTGAAAGGTAAGATCGGAGGTAAACAAGGAGGTAAAGGAAATAGCTCATGGGGAGGAAGCTACGGAAGCCAAGGGAAATTTACCCCACACAGTGAGCGTGAATGTTACAAGTGTGGTGGAAAAGGGCATATTGCCATTAACTGCCCGGGCTCCAAGAAGACCGCCAACGAAGTTGAGCAAGAGAAGCCTACAGTAAACACCGAAACTGAACAAACCACCTCGTTCGGTCAACCACAACACGTTCTCAGTGTTGAGATGAAGGAAGCAATGAACGTGTCACTAGACCAGACTGCGATCGAGGAGGTTAACGAGAAATGGGACCTGCCCTATTACGCCAGAAAGAAGACGGCGCGTGACAACGCGGTAAACATGAGAAGAATCCATCAGGAACACCAGTACGATGGAGACCGTCACCATACTAGTCAGTGGGATCAAAGAATAAATAAAAGCGTGAGGCAGGAAAAAGGTTGGCTGGTGAAATGCAAAGAAATTGGACTAATTGAGATGCGTGGAGGTGATCCGGAGATTAACGCAGTACCGCCACCAAGTGCAACACATGAGACGATCGTGGTCACCGTGGACTCCGGCGCCTACAACACAGTGGGCCCCCCCAGAGTTGGCACTCATTTCCCCATTAAGCACGCGGACGCGTCAAAGCAGGGACGACACTACAGTGCAGCGAATGGAACCACGATAAAGAATTATGGTCAACGCGTGATCACAGGTAAAAATGAGCATGGGAACGCAGTCAGTATGCCAATTCAGGTGGCAGAGGTCAACAAAGTCCTAGGGTCGGTAAGAGAGATGGTAAACGCTGGAAACAGAGTAGTGTTCGACAAGGATCCTAACGGGAAGTCCCTGAGCCACATCATGAACAAAGCGACTGGCAAGTTAACAGCCATCCATGAAAAGAATGGCACATTCCAGTTCAACATCACAGTACCGAAGGGACCAGCGGAAGCCGTCAATCCCAGGAGTGAAGTGAACGTGACTGAGGGTTTTCCGCGGCCGGGAACCCTGGAGGCGGATCTGTTCTACTAAGCCCCCCGTCACCCGTAAGACATATTGAGGTGTGTCAGTTGTGGTTACAGCAGAAAGTTAAGGAGGGAGTGATTCGTATTGTGAAAGTCGGGACACACGAGAATGCAGCAGATGCGTTGACCAAGTATGTCAGTCGTGAAAGCATGAGCACACATCTACGAAACACGAATCAATGTGCATTAACAGGCAGGCATGAGCTTGCACCAGCTACTGAATGTTGACGCATCGAATGTTGATGTTCGCAGCTCATTTCAGTCAAGCAAACTGCAGCTATTAAAGGCCTTCTCCACCCATCACCTCTCACTCTTGAGCGTGAACGAGAGCATGGCGGCTCCCCAGGTCAACCTCACCATCAACGGCTCCATGGTCGACCAGAGCCCAGCTGGGGATGGGCCGGTTACGCGTGAGAACCTCAACCGCCGTGTTGACGACATGGTGCACGTTGCCCACGCGTTTACCGTCACCCTCACTAACATGGCGATTAACTTCCACGGAGCCTACGACAAACACGTTGACGAGGTGCAAAGGGCCGCGGATGACATGGCGGCGAGGATCGAGGAGTTGACGCGGCAGAACGATGCGCTGATCCAGGACAGTGACGACGTCAACGAGAATCTCCAAAGGGCGCAGAAGGAGATTAACGACCTGATGGCGACGATTACGGACCTGAACATTCAGAACCGCGACTCGGGGGTTAACACGGAGGAGAATGCAACCAAGTATAGGCGCATCAACGACAACATTGGTTGCCTCCTGAACACCGCCAAGCGCCTTACCGATAACATCACGCCCCTGCAGGACTTCGAGGGTAAACGTGATGCGGCGCTACGCCTGTTGGTGGCAGTAACGGAGAGGCTGGAAGGATTACAGAGGTTCTTGCATGACCCGATCAACTCCCCGGTTACCAACATCCCGCAGGTTCCTCCGCCGTTACCCGAGCAGCCCCCAACAGCAGTAGTCGCCAAGGCACCTCCCGCTGCAGTCAACGCGACGGCCGGGGCCAGCCAGCCTCTAGCTCGAGCCGCTGCAGCATCGGGTGCACCCCCGGCTCAGGGCTTTACCGGCACCACGCCCAAGACCGGAGGGTTCGGTCGATCCGTGTCGCCGAATAAGATCCCACAGTCAACGTCGCCTCAACCTGTTTACAAGAAGGCACCCAAGGCCATGCATGAGCGTAAGCGGGAATTGGAAGAGTTACTGCAGCTGGGAATGAAGATGGATGAAGATCGTGCACAGGGCAGTCAACGTGACGAAGCAGCAAAAGGCCCTGCCCCGGTGGTTAAAGCGAGGGCGCCCAAGCCGCCTCCTCCGGGCCTTGGAGAGTCAGGTGCATCAAGCAGTGTTAGCGGCATGAATCCCCCGCTTCCGGTGCCCAAGAAGTTATCGACCCAGTACGTTCCTCCACCGCAGCCTCAAGCTGTTAACCGTACGGACGAGCAGCTTGCGGCATACTCGCGGAACGTCGCCAGGGGCATGTACCGGCCACTGTATCATGTCAACGGCCGCATGCCCATGGTAAACGACAAGTGCGAGGACCACGACGTCAACTACAAGGTGGAGCCCGACCCCAGGGAGGTAGTCGCATTAACGATGAAGACGCGCGACAACTGGCGCAGGTTCGAAGGCAACTTCGTCGGACATGTGGCAAAAGAGGGGTTAACGACTCCAGGTGGTCGATCTATTCCAGGCAATGCGGGGCGGGAACTCAACGACTACGATGAGGTGTTCGTCGACATTTACGGGCAGCACGCCTACGGCTTCCTTGGTTGCTCCGTGTTAAAGGGCCCAAGCAGCTGGAGGTCTCAGTTGACGGAGAAGGAGCTGGAAAAGCACGACGAGTGGGTTGACGCGGTCGGGCACGTACAATCCCTGTTCGATGACGAGTACGTGCCGCCGATTCACGTCAACGATCTCCACCCAATGTGGTTCGACGTTCACAGCTGCCCAGACACACAGGTCTATGTCAACAAGGCGCCAGAAATGAACGAGAAACAGCTTAACGGCCTTCTGCTAACGTGGGCCGGGATGCTGCCCCACGGCA